CAGCCCCTGTGGGAGAAACCAAGGAAAAGGGAAACTCCATCCTGCTCACTCCTCACAACCTCAGTTTGAACCTCGTGCTCCAACCCATACCCCTCAAGCCCTGTCCTGTCCCACTCACCCTGCCTCCTCAGATTCTGCTTGTTCTATTAATGCCTCACCCCTCTGCTGACGGATGGTCCAGGGGTCACCTGAGCTAGACTACCTTTGGTGAAGACCTCTGTAGGCTCCCCTCTGCCCGGGGGTCATACTTCCTCCTCTATTGCCACTCTGGTCAGGATGATCAATTCCTCCAGCATCAACCTGAAGGCAACAGGGTTAAAAAAGCAGACAAAAATAATTCCTACAGACAGGGCTGGGTCTATTCTTACCTTCTGCAAATGGTTCCCATTCATAAAAGCGGCCCATGAATGGCTTGTTGTTGTAGGATGCACACTGTACCTCCCGAATACTCCTACTGCTTTCTGGACACACCTAATAAAGCAAATAGTAAATACGCAATTAGTGTCCACATATATCTTTCTGTAGCCCCAGTCAAATCCCGGAGGACTGCTCCAACTTTGAATACCAGTCCTCTTATACCGAAATCAGGACTTGTGAAAATTTGCTGATTTTACCTCCATCAGAAATTTTAAATACAGATTCCAAGGCTCCACTCCAAGTTTACTAAATCAGAATCTTTGTAAGGACACTAAAGTTTCAGCAGGCTTCCCAGTTAAGTTTCAGAATCTGAAAACTACTAACCTAAACCTTCTGCTCCTGACAAGTTGGTCTGCCCACTTCCAAGGTCATGCATTTCTGTCTTTGGTCATGCCATTCACGTGCATGGCTTAATATTCCCAGCAAACATGTATAGAGAAAGCCCTTACCATGTGCAGCCACTGCTTTAAACATGTTACACATGTTGATTCAGTTAATCCTCACAACAACCAATGAGGTAGATAGGAGAGTTTGCAGACTCCTCACAGATGAACAATCTGAACATGGAGGAGCCACACAGCCAGCGAGGACAGAGACTGGATTTAACTCCAAGCAGTTTGGTCCCCACTAGGCTGCATCTCAGTGTCCTCCCCACCTTGTCTACATTCTGGTCTAAAGTCTCTCCACCACCTAGTGAAGGACCTCGCAGCCGTTAGCACGCAAAAGCATCACCCAGAGATCTCCCGGGGAATGCAAATTCCTACATCCCTCTCCCACGGCCTATCTTTCAGTAAGTCTGGGATGAGACCCAGAATCTGTATTTACCTAATTATCCAGGTGATTCTGATACTCTCAACTAGTCAGAGAAAATACCCAGCTCCCTATGGCCTCTTTCTTATTTGTAAATACTACAAAAGAGCAAAGAGTGACATAAAATAAATAAATGTGAAATAAGATATAGTAAGATCAGAATCTCTCATCCAAATCATGAATAAAGTAAGATCAAGCACTTTTTAAAATATATATATATATAAGTATATGTCTGTGTGTGTATGTATGTGTGTGTTACTGGGGGCCGAACCCACAACCTGGGCATGTGCCCTTGACTGGAATCAAACCCTTCAGTCTCCTGGCCGATGAGAGAACAGGAAGAAGAATGAAACCAGGTAGGAGGAGAGCATCTCCTGCTCAATAAAAGACAGTCGGGGAAGCTGCTGGTACAACCCTGCAGCAGCCTGAGCCAAACCACATGGAGCAAGAAGCCATGCAAAGTAGAACGTGATGGAGACTGGTGGGAAAAATGAGCTCCGACATCAGTGAGAAGCCAACAGGCCAGAAGGGCTCTGAAAGCCATGCTACTGGCAGCCCAAAAGCCAAACGCCAGGTGTCTCCAGGAAGGATTTGGTGTTGATGCCTTCTATAACCTTTTGGCCAGAACCAGAATTCAACTAGGATGTGATCAAGTTGGGCAACTTGGGAGAAGGCACCATCCTTGCAACCAGAAGCAATCACAAGGCTTTTGCTAAAAATACAGATTCTCAGGCCTCACACCGTGGGAAGGTGGGGAAAAGGGCCTAGGAACAGATGCTGGATTTGCTCTCTCAGGTAACTCTGGTGCAGTCAGCCTGACAACAGACTGTACAGCCACACCCAAACCTCAGTCTCCCTCCAAATTCCTTCATGTGCAATCACAAAGTGGTAGAGCTGTGAGAATCAATTCCAACCCCTTTGAGGAAACTGAGGTCTGGAGAAGTGGCATACTTTGCCAAAAGCCCCACAGTGATAAGAGACAGAGTCCAGAGCACTGTCACCACCCACCCTGGCTATAAAAAAACAAAATAGAGATCAGCTGCTGGGTGGCAGGTTTTCTAAGGGAACCAGACCAGAGCAAGTAGGCCAAATGTCCTTTTCCCAAATAACCACGCCTATGTAAAGCCACCTGCCTGCCATGAGGCCCCAGCAAGAAACTACCCTAATTAACCAGCTGGCAGTTACCAGAATTGGAAGCTGCAGACCACAAAAACTTAGCCTGTTTGCTTAATCCCTTTCTCTTCATCAGCAAAATAGTGCCAATAGGCCAGATGATGAACCCATGCACTGTCAGAATCATTGTGAACTGCTCAGAATTTGATCATATAAATGTCTATTTTACCTACAACCCAGGTGAAAAAAGTGCTAAAATGATTATGTGGGGTGTGTGTGTGTGTGTGTGTGTGTGTGTGTATAAAGAGAGAGATCAGTTAAAAGTGTTATCTCCAGAAGGTGGGTTATAGACATTTTCTCTTCACAATTAACTTTTGGTTTATTTATACTAATTTTTCTGCAGTAAATATGTAATACTTATGTAATAAAAATATGCCAGAGGTGAGCACTTCCAAACACATCTGGCCTTTAGCCACTTCACATGTGCTTCTAGTTTACAACCTCATGGTGTGTTTCCATGTCCCACTACTGCCTGGCGTACTGATTACATCCATATGCATCTGCCAAGCCAACCAGTTACAGGTGATAGATGGGTCATTCAGGACCCCCTTTCTCTAGTTATCAACAAGTACTTTATATTTGAGCACAGTCAGAGGCACGAGGACTTAGGTGGCATCCAATACACAGTAGGGGGTCACCTACAATTGCCAGGAGGCAGCCAAGCCCAGAGGTTGACTATCCAACTAGCAGTTAGCATGGGGAGGTACAGCAAGAAGTAACATGCCCTGGCAGATGGGCATGACACTGTGTGTGACCCTGAGCAGGGACCCACATGATGCCAGGCAAGCTGCCAGTTAGAAGCAGGGCGCCACTTCCTGAGATGGAGAAGGATCTGGTTAGAGAAATGCAAGGCTCACAGGGCCCAGATGTGGAAGTGAGTTACTGAGATGGAATTATGGTGCAGATGAGGAAGCAGAAGCGTGGGGTGGTGGTGGTGGTGATGATATTAAGAACAGGTAACTTTTATTGAGTACTTACTAACTGCCAAACACTGCACCATGTGATTTATGTATATCAGTTCATTTAATCCTCATGACAGTTAATATACTCATTTTACAGATAAGGAAACCAAGACAACAAAAAGTTAAATGAGCTGCCCAAGATCATGCATAAGGCTAATAAGTGGGGGAGTCAGTATCTGAACCCAGGCACTCTGAGTCTAGAACACATGCTAGTAACCACTATGCCATGATGGCCCTTGAGACTGTGTGGACAGCAAAGTTAATAAGCAAAGAATTATCAGACAAGAGGGCCTTGAATGCCATCAGGAGGAATCCTAGAGGCCAAGGTCAGAGTCAGCCTCTGAGGTATGGCGAAGTGGCCCCGGTGTCAGGAGCTGGAAGCTGTGGGCTGAGGATAAAAACCAGCGAGGCTGGGGAAATTGTTTGGGGTCTCTTTTGTAGTTTATATTTATTTTTACTTGTTATACTATTATCATTACATGATCTCCTCTCAGTTTACAGGTTGTCTAAAATTAACATTTCATTTCACATTAGTTGTGGTTTAAGTGGGCTCTTTCCTGATACCATAGACCAGGGGTGGGCAACCCCTGGCACACGTGCCAAACATGGCACACCAGTAACTTTTGCTGGCACGCGAAACCCTCTCTTATAATCTTCCATTTACAATTTTTTTCTTAATATCGACTTTTTTATTTTTCAGATAAATTCAGTGTAGGTGCATCTTAGATAAATAAATAATTTTACATAACAAGTTATCTGAAAGACCATAGACATGGATTGATGAGAGAGGGGAAGAGCAATTTCTATGCCTCTGCCTTAACTCTCCATGCCTTCCTAGATCCGACCAGTGTTTTGGTTTCATTCACATATGCTTATGAATCTTTGTTCTCAGTGATGAATTTTGTTAAGTCTCATAAGAGGAGTAGCCTGATGGATGAAAGTAGTAGCTCGTGCATATCTCTGAAGGGCACGAAATATAAACCTGATATAAAATCTCTGTCATCAGTGATGCAGCAGCAAAAGTCCCACTGATAATATCAAACGGAGTCATAAAGGTTCCTGTCGGACTATCAGTGTACTTAATTTTATTATTTCTTCAAGATTCTTCACATACGTACACCTTAAGAGATATCAAGCAGGAGTAACATGTTCTAAAAAAATTAGGGTTGGCACGAAGAATTTTGAGTCAGAGATTTTGCTGGTTTTGGCATGCACTCACAAAAAGGTTGCCCACCCCTGCCATAGGCTGAGTCACCCTCACTTTATCAGTAATTTTTTTTTACACTGTGAGCTAGCTTTGGGCAGATTTTCTGCAGACAGCAGATCCCTTCCATGGACACAGATTCTTGGAATTTTCTGGCCAGAAATCTGTGACAGGGAAAAAGTCATGTTGATAGAGATCAGGCTCACTCAGGACGGGACCAGAAAAGACTGGAGCTTCGGAGCCAAGTGATGCCCCCTGGGAGATAAGCTCCTTCAAATGAGTCTCTTCTGCCCAAAGAAGGAGGGATGTATCCACTGGTCTCTTATGGAAAGAGGAAGAAAGATGCACTTCAATATAAAACTCTCAGGCCCTGGCCAAGGTTCCATCTAGACAACGGTCTGGGGTTGCTATGAGTCACAAGGCGTGTTATGGAAACTGGGGTTGTGTTTCCAGTGACCCTGGTTAATCGGAGATAACAACGGACTCCACCCAACTTCATTGTTCAAGTGGCCACTGTTGGTGATCACACAGTTAATTTTTGGTAATTAATTACTTTCAGTTCCCCAGGAGACTAAAAAGCATCATCTGCAATGAAAGTGGCAACAGGGAACATGACCTTGAAGTGTGCCTGAGTAAAATATGCACTTTTTTTTATCCTTTGCATTGCTCTGGATTCAAACAAAAGGTCAGCTATCATAGCATCATATGATGTATTTAATATCACCACAATAAGGAAATCTAAAAAAAAACTCACAAAAACAAATCTAAAAAATATGTCCACACTACCATAAGAAAGTGGCTGGGACCTTGGGCAAAGCACTTTGCTTCTCTAAACCTAAATTATTCTATCATGCCGACCTCCCAGGGATTTTGTGAGAATTAAATTCGTAAATTCGTTTAAGTTT